GGTAAACATAAGGTAATAGTAGGTCAAATTGATTTTTTTTTTTTTAAAAAAAAAAAAAAAAAACTAAAACTAAAAAAAAAAAAAAAACAAATTACGTCCAGTTGACGGAGAAGCCATGGCCGGCTTCCCGTCAAACTGGACGGAGAAGCCATGGCTGGCATCTCCGTCCAGTTTGACGGAGAAGCCGGCCCATTCTCCGTCGACTGGACTGAGAAGCCATTGCCAGCTTCTCCGTCCAGTTTGACGGAGAGCCATGGCCGGCTTCTCCGTCAACTGGGCTTAGAATCCATGGCCGACTTCTCCGTCAAACTGGACGGAGAAGCCATGTCTGGTATCTCTGTCCAGTTTGACGGAGAGCCATGGCCGACTTTTCCGTCCAGTTTGACGGAGAAGCCATGACCGGCTTCTCCGTCAACTGGGCGAAGAAGCCATGGTCGGCTTCTCCGTCAACTGGCCGGAGAAGCCAGCCATGGCAGTTTCTCCGCCGACTTCTCCGTCTAGTTTGACGGAGAAGCCTGTTTTTTTTTTTTTTTTAATTTCTTTATTATTTTATTTTTTATTTGAATTAAAAAAAGATATTATTTTATTTTTATTTTTTTAAAAAAAATTACCTGCAACTTTAATGTAACCTTCTAATTAACCTAATTGCACAAAAATGAAAAAATAAAGGGTCTAATTGAAGCTTTTGTTAGTTTAAGGGCCTAATTGCATTTTGGCCTATAGTTGAAGGGTCTATTTGACCCTTATCCCATATATATATATATATATATATATATATATATATATATATATATATATATATATATATATATATATATAGCAAAAGTTTAAATGCGGCGGACCCTTCCCGTGTAGCGGTGCGACGGAGTTTCAGTAACACCAACAGTGTTAACGATAAGCATCAATAGTGTAAGGGAAACACACCACAATAAAATGCAAAAATACACTAAAAAATACACAACACACCCAACATTAAAATCAGTCTTTGTAAACTTAATAACAGATACTCCGTAGTATTTAATACGTTCAGCTAACTTACATTCTAACTTAATTTTTAAATTCTAACAGCTAGTATTTAATTATTAAATTAATTTTTAAGAATAAGAATTAATACGTTCTATAATGGTACTCAAAAAAGTACACCTAAAAAATTACAGTGAAATGTTACATCCAAAAAGTAAAATTTAACTTTTCGATCAAACTAAAAAGTCAAATTATACTTCTTGGTCAAATAACGAGAAGTTGAGGTCCAAAATTCCACCGAAATGCAATGGAATTTTGCTTGCAAGTTTTCCACCATGGCTATTTTTTTTTTTTTTTTTAAACCAACTAAACAATGATTGTATTAATGAACCAAAACTTCAATTGAATCAGGAGGGATTGAATCCCAATACATAAACTGGTCCTTATCAAATGCTAAAGAAGCTAGGATATGAGCATGAGAATTTAAAACTCTAGAAACATAATGTAAAGTGCAATAATTAAAGGATGCCATGGCCTCCCTACACTGATCGACCATAACACCAACATAGGATAAAACATTTGCTGACACCTGGCTTAGAATGTTCCGCAATTCCATACAATCCGTGAACAGGTCCACCGATGTTATACCTTTCTCCAACAACCAAGATATAGCTTCCTTACAGGCCAGAGTTTCCGCCATGAGTGACGAAAAACAAGGTGGTAACCTTCCATTCCGAGCCGCCGTAAACCCGCCATCCGACGAGAGAAGAACAATATCGTAGGAAGCCTCCCCGGTTGCGTGTCGGAATCCTGCATCCACGTAGCACTTGGACCTGCCGTGACCCCCATCCGGAGCTGCCATCTCGGTCTCCGCCTGCCTTGGAGGGCGGTGGTTGGCTCTCTGGTAAGCAATCAAAGTCGTGGCCGCCATCCTCCATGCGCCGGCGGGCGGATGGAGAGCGCGGTCCCACACCGCGCAGGGCCGGATTTTAGGCTGTGCAAGCTGGGCTACCGCACAGGGCCCCCAATTTTAGAGGGGCCCCAAATTTTATAGGTCCAATATTTAATTTTTACCTAGCTAGTTTAGAAATAAAAATTAAGAGTTTTCAATTAAACTTAAAAGGTTCTATGAAGAGATGGTAAAAATGTATATTTATTGTATTTTAACTTGGAGGTCAAAGGTTCGAAACTTGCATGTATTGATTTTAAAAATTGTGATTTTGGTAGGGCCACATTTATTTACCAGAACAGGGCCACCAAAATTTAAAATACGGCCCTGACACCGCGGAGTTGCGGCATCGCCATAACTGATACATGATCGCCACCATGAGAGCACTCTGTTCCTCTGTTAACATTGCAAGTGCACCAGTTAGCCTGGGAATAAATTTGTAATGATATTCGTTATATGCAGACCTGAAACATTCCAAACAAGTCTAGAATATATACAGGTAACTAAAGCATGCATAACATCTTTGTTGGTCAAACCACACATCTGACATGTTGGTTCCACCTCCACCCACTATGGCTATTTAGTTTTAAAAATATGAAAAATTGATATAACTTAATCCGCACGGTCAGCTAACTTTGTTTTCTTTGACTCTTTTGATTCACGTGATTTGAAAGATTTCTCATTGTATGAAAAAAAGAAGACAATTGTTTTGCGAGTTTTACAAACGTACAGCTGAAAAAATGAAATCTAATAATTTGCCCAATCAATAAAATAAAATAAAACTCCGTTGGCGTCTTAAAGTTAGGCTTTACATCTAATCGCCGTGATAATTATGCATTCTTACTTTTGAAGCTGGTTTTATTGTCAATTTTGAAAAGTAAGAATGGAATTTGTTAATTGTTAATTTCAAATTGGGTATATGACACTTTTTTTCCTTGATATAGCTTATTTCTAGACACAATTATAGCCTATAGGTGTTATCATTTTTTTTTTTTTCCTTTTTCTAAGTTATCTTCACAGTGTCTATTTTCATCTGAATTTGCTAACTATTTTCGGTTAATATCCACCATCTTAAAAAATGATAGACTTTTTAGGAATATTAGTTAAACATATGAAATAAATAAGATACTTTTGCTCAATTCTCATTTCCAAATCATAATTTCATATCCATAAATGAGATTTAAGAGAAAATATCATGTCTATACTCTATAGTATACCAATCGTTATGCCATGGAACCGTGTTCACCATCCATTGTGAACACGGTCCCAACGGTAAAGGTGCACCGTTATTTTTTTTTTTCTTAATTAACCGCGCGACTTTTCTTCTTCATTCTCACATTTCGTGGTTTCACTTCCTCTTCGCGCATGTTTCTTCAACATTCATAAATTATGAATGTGCAGGCATGGATTTATGAATGTGCAGTTATGAAATTATGAATTTTTTTTTATGAGATTATGAATTTTCTGTTATGAGATTATGAATTTTCTGGCATGCGATTATGAATTTTCTGTTATGAAATTACGAATTTTCTGTTATGAGATTATTAATTTACAGAAAATTCATAATTACATAACAGAAAATTCATAATCTCATAACAGAAAATTCATAATTTTATAAATGTTCTTCTTTATTGCGATTATGAATTTTCTGTTATGAGATTATGAATTTACAGTACATTCATAATCTCATAACAGAAAATTCATAATAAAAAACAAACGCGCGCCGTTAACAGCACATTAACTAAATTTCTTTTTTTTCGTAAAAACGACTCCGTTTGGACCCGTGTTTTTCAAGACATAATTTACGATAGTATACGCTTGATTTAGAAAAACAATGTTGGGAGATTTAGCTGATCTTTTTGTAAAAAAAATAATATAATAATAATAATAATAATAATAATAATAATAATAATAATAATAATAATAAATAAAATAAAATTAAAAACACACACAACCCCTCATTTTTTTTTTTAAGATTATGATCCCATGTCTAATATAAATAGTTAATGATTTTGAATAAAATTAACTACTACGATGATATTTGAGTGAAGAAATGTACCAATGATTGAAGAAAAATAAGGGTGTTTTTGGTTCAAAGATATAGTCTAATCAGAATGATAATAATAATAATAATTAAATACTTAATAATCGTAATGGGTTTAAGTAGGATGAATAACTATGTTTGGTAGTAAATAGAAATTAAAATCAAAATTCAATTTTTTTTTAGACGGTCATGGCTGTTTGGAACTAGGGCGGCGGCCATGGCCGCCGCCCTCGTTCCAGGCCGTTTGAGGTCTAGATCTGGACCTCATGTTTGACAGTCGTGAATATTCGGTTGTCCTCGCCGGACAGCCATGGCTGTTTGTGAAATACGCAGCCACCGGCTGTCCAGTGCGAATATCCGGTGGCTGAAATTCTTATAGTGGCTGAAATTCTTTTATATATATATATATATATATATATATATATATATATATATATATATATATATATATATATATATAGGGACGCACTCAGGTGCGAATAAGTGCCCAGGAAGGAAATGCGAACGAATCAGCGCGCGACACGTGTCCAGATCTAATAACTTAAAAAAAAACACAGTGGCATTTTCGTAAATAATTGAACATCGAAGTGCAAGTAAAATCTCTTATAAGTGCACCTATTTTCACCTATAAGTGCATGTAATTTTGCCTTGTTAGCATTCACTTTTCGCAACCATTCATGCACCTGGGTGTGCTTATAACTATCTGTGCAACTATTTATAACTATTGGTGCAACTACTTATAACTATAGGTGCAACTACTTTCACATATAAGTGCATGTAATTCTGCCTTGTTAACATTCATTGATCTGAGTTCAGCGGGTAGTAATATTCCTGAAAATCACTCGCAAACATTCATACACCTAGATGCAACTACTTATACCTATCTGTGCAACTACTTAGAACGATAGGTGCAAGATTATTAACGACTATTAAACCAGTTATCCCCATTAAATTAAATGAAATGTATCAGCCTATGTCGGCTAGCACATACGGTAATATAAAAATGCGCATTCGATCATAATCCCAAAACAATAACACCGATTGCAGTATAAAAAGCAAAAGAGGAAGCTAAATTCTGAACACAAAAAGTCTGAACAAAAAACGAATTAAAGAAGCAAACGAAAGACCACTACGGAGCCCGTGGAATAGACGACACAAACTGATACGCCCGGGAGATATTCCTACACTTATGTAGATTGAATTCTGAAGTTGCAAGTTCCTTCATGTAGCGTAACATCAACTTCTTTAGCTGCGCAACGTTACCTTTAGTCAGCCCACATCTCCATCTAGCCACTCCCTGCCCTACATAACTCTCCATGTGATGCATAACATACACGCCATAGTCAACCTTGTTCTTGCCATCCCGCCAGCTCATTTGCATGCGTTTTGATTCCAAACACGCACACATCGTAGACCTTGCTGGATCAATGCATGCAAAGAATTCCACAAGCATGACCAACTGCAACAGATGTGCATAGAGCCAAATGAATACAAAGAAAAAATGAAAAACGGAAATTTGTACAAGTACAAGACATGGAACAATAGAAACCATACCAATTCATTGAGACAACCACCATACTTTAGCTGCTTGTTAGACTGAAGAGTCGAATTATCAATTATCTCATACCGAAAATTACGAAAATCAATGTACAACAAAATGTAGTGCCCCTGGCGTAGGATTGGAAACATAAACTGCAGAAAGCAACAGTGAACAGGTGCAATAAAACACAACGAATATAAGCAAAGCATCCCACGCCAAAAAAAAAAAAAAAGAAAGTAAACCTAAAGTGGTGTGTGCACACGAGACAAGTATAGTGTGCACGTACGACACAAACATGGCTGATTAGTAAATGATAAGCACAAAGTGCCACACTGCACAAACGTGTTGTCATTAAATACTGAGCTATGAATATGAAATTTAAATTGTAATGATGTAAATAGCTTAAGACTAATCAGAGAGCAAATATATAAGATTAAAAAAGAGAAATCTACACATTTGTGGAAACCCATTAATTAATTAGCGGCACATAAGACTAACATAGTGTGCACAGAAGAAGACAGATCGATGGCAGATTGGCAGCGGAAAAAACGCAAAAGCATACATACCATGTCAACTTTATTAATGTAATGGTAAAACGTCATCTCAAACTCCTCATGGAGGCTATTCTTGAACAAAGCAACCCGTTTATCCCGATAGTACTGCACACACTTGAGTACAAAAATAAGCTAACTAAATACACCATATAGCACAGTCCGAAAGAACCCGTGCATACACTGAGCAATACAGTACACACCCAAAAAAAAAAAAGCAAATGCCACAATATATTCACATGTGCACATACAGCAACTACATTACTATAATATAATATAACAAATTAATTATTTCTAAACTAAACACATAATCCAGCTCTTTCTTTATGCATACTCTAAGATCATTCCCTTTTTTCGTGAAACTAAAATATTTTATTAAATGAAATAAAGAAAGAAAGATGTAGACTTTGTTATCACAATAACATTCATTATGAATATGCTTATTAACTGCACTAAATCTTGGCTTGCAATAACCCAAATCTGATGATCTTGGTGCCACTAAATTATTAGTGTCATAGACTGCAATCATAAGATTTTTAATTATATTCTACCTAAGGTTGGAATACTGTATGCTCTCCCATCTCCATCAAATCAATTCAATGTTTAATTATATATAGATTATGAAAAATTAATTAAATTGATTAAGACAATCTTAGAGCAACATTATCCAGTTCTTAAACTCAATTTTTTACTCTTTTGCAGTAAAACTGAAATTTTTTCCTCTCATTAATTCCATCTATCCTCCACTGCCCCACACCCACAAAAAGACGCCTATGCCGGAAACAAACATGCATAAGCACCCTCCCCCCACCAGACGCGAAGCAACCCCAGAAACCCTACGGCTAAAAACGACGAAAGAAAAACGCAAAGGAGAAAAGGGACAAACATACCTCGACCTACACGATCAGATGGTGCTCCTCGTCGCTTGTCACAACCGCAGTCCCCACCGGCGTCCATCGTGAAAGTCGCGGCTGATAGCTGCTTATGAAGGATGCGATCGACGGCGTGGGAGAGGGGCTGACAGCTGCTGCCGAACGCGAGAGAGAGAAATCGTGAAAGTCGCGGACAATGGACTCCTCAGTGTAATCCTACTGGAATTGAACCGTCAAAATACAATGAAAAACTCAAAAATGCCCCTCTTAAAATAGAACATGCGACATTAACGTTAATCATGCCAAAAATAAATTAAACAAATCTTCATCATCCAATCTAAAAATCCAACGATCCTAATGAATCCACACGTTTGTATTTTAAGCCCTGTTTGTATTTGAATATAATCCTATATATATATATATATATATATATATATATATATATATATATATATATATATAGGGATGGAGTCAGAAATTCGACCGGGGGGGCGAAGAATGAGATGATTTTAGAATGAGATGATTTTAAAAAAATAAATAAATAACCCAAGAATTTTTTTTTCTTTTTTATAACCATTACCTAAGAAATATAGTTGTAAATATTGTTGGATATGTGCGAAAAATAAAACACATCGAAATTTTATAAAAATGTTCATAACAAAATATGAACCATAATTAATTTGATAAAATAATTTGAATAGAAAACACATTATAAATTACACATATTAAATATTAAAAAAGTGGCTGTGTTGAAGCCATAGGGGAAGAACTCAAAAATTATACTAAAACCTATACTATATATACATATATACATACAAAAATTATATATGAGGTGGGGGTCGGGTGAGGGGGGCAGGTGCCCCCCCTTTGGCTCCGTCCCTCTATATATATATATATATATATATATATATATATATATATATATATATATATATATATATATATATATAATGAAAACTAGTGTGAATCTGTAACGGGTAATGTGTTGAGAATATATAATATATAAATATAATGGCGTAATATAAGTATCAGTTTATACTTTTAATTAAGATAAAACATATCTTTCAATTTTGTATCATAATCAACCTCATGTTAATGGTCCAAACAAATATTCAACTATCAATCTAAATTTTAGCTGTAGTGGAGCACATCTTTCAATTGATAGACATAAAGCAACATAACTCTATTCATAGTTCAAATCTTTGTCCATATGCCTAGTGGTGATACATATAATATAATAATCTCTTATTATAATAAAGCAACAACTTTCTACCAAAACCATCTTTTCGCTCAAAACAAACGACGTCACTTTGTATATAAGAGATTAAGGTCGAAACTAAATGCTGTTAAATAATGTTTAACGCGTGAACATTAATTATGCCGGCAACTTTTTGTTAATACCAACCACAATAAAGCAATTTTAATACAATTTAAATAGAATTCTATTAATTACAAACTTCTAAGGAGACTCTTTAGATTAAACACTTCTTCGAAAACATACATCTCAAATCTAGAAAAAATCAATATAAATACCCTAATAATAAAGAAACTCAATGATCTAAATGTCTGATCACCATGCGCTTGGAAACTGTAAGGTCGCCCGCACCATTCATAGTTCCAAGACACATCATAGATTTTGAATTGCAGTTCTCCATTCTATATAAGCAGATCACTATGGAGACCTCCACTACCTACTCCACCTTTGCTTCAGTTCGTATCACCTGTGAACCAGAGAAAAAGAAACAAAATTATTTGCAAGAAAACCATGCCAATGTATGTAGCTGTAAAGGATATTGGTCCTCTCGATAGGGAGAAAGCAATAAGAGTAAAGTGTGTGCGGTGTTACGAAATCTATGAAAAATGGTCTACAGAGATTAAGAGTCGAGAAGTGTTGTTTTGTGATACAGAGGTATGATCTTCACTATTTGATATTGTATTCTTCTGTTCACTCTAAAAGTTTATTTGATAGATATACCACATTTTATTTTCTGGTCACTGTTTTTCAAATGTATTTCCTTATGCTAGGTTTTAGTTCTATGATTCAAAGCTTATGTTGATTTTTAATGCCTAGGCTCTACGCAGTAATATGCTCTACATTAATACATGCACTATAAACAGATTTATAGTCTCTTTTACACAGATTTATGGTTCACCAAAATCTAGAGTCTATACAGTTTTTTCATCTACACTTTTTTGTTTATCTTCACTGTTTAAGGTTATTCTTATGCTAATGGTGTAGGGCTCTTTCATCCATTTGAACCTCCAAAGTAATGATGTCAAAAAATACAACAATGTTTTCCAAGAAGGGAAGCTGTATTCAGTCAAAAATTTTGTTGTTTTCACCCACTATTATATGTACAAAACTTGTGATCACAAATATATGATCAGGCAAAACTCTAAGACTCAGGTAAAGGCCATAAAATCCTAAGGTTTCCCTACTAAGATGTTTCAGCTTAAAAGTTTTGACTCTTTGAAAGACCCTACTCAAGTGAAAGACAAGGTGCTGTTTGGTAAGTAAGCTGTTTTTATTTTTGCTCATTTTGTCTACTGTGTAAGCTGTTTCTATTTCTAAACTTTTTTTTTTCTTTTTGCTCATTTTGTCTACTGTGTAAGTTGTTTTTATTTCAAAACTTTTTATTCTTCTATTTTGTGATGAAATAGATTTAATAGGCAGAGTTGTAGAGATCCATGCTCCTGTAGACAAAATAATAGGGGGTAGACCAGCCAAACTCCTAGACTTTAAAATGGCTGATAATGAGTAAGTTTCATTTTATCAAATATGTACCTATATTTCAAGAGATTATATTTTTTTCTAACACACTTTGCTATAGGGGTAATTTCTTGCAGTGCACTGTGTGGGACAGTCATGTTGGTGCCATGCTACCATACTATGATGCAGGTCTTAAAGAACCATTAATTCTGGTTCTTCAGCTATGTCGGGCAAAGGTGGTCAATGGTAAGTTTTAGGGATAGATTATTCTTTTACATTATTTCTATTTTTCCATTGTTCATTGCCATCTAACATGCAAAATTAGGTGAAGTCAGAATCACTAGCTGCTATGATGCTACCCAACTCCATTTCAATGCATCTTTCTAAGAATTTGCTGATTTTAGGTCGCAGTAAGTGCCTGAATTTTTTTTTTTCTACATTATACATTTTATCAACTATTCTACTACACATTAATAAAAATTTGTGTTCATTTTACCTGTAGGTTAAATGCTGCAAGCAGTCCTTTACGCAGTATCAGTACAGCAGCAGTGCTGTAACACCCCCCCCAAAACATGCTATATAAAAAGCCTTAACACATGCAGATATCACAACAAAACACTAGCACAGCGGAAGATAAAAGGTAACTGGATAAACGAAAATCCAAAACATGGGGTGTCACGCCACGTTTACCAACAACGATAAACGCTACGGCAAAGTCTGCATGGTTCACAACTATCCCAAAACCTCATGAGTCTATCACTACATCGGCTCACAGGCCGTAAAGCAAAGGAAAGGTACTATACTATCGGGCACTAGACTCCGCTCTCGTCTAGACATCACCTGTAAGAACACAAATAAACATGGGACGACGCCCGGTCAGCGAATAATGCTGGTAACCCAACAAAACATGTTAAGTATCATACATAGATAGGATATATATATATATATATATATATATATATATATATATATATATATATATATATATATATAAATCATTTCGAAACGGGATACATATATAACAATGTAAAACCAAGAGTAAACACCAACTCAAGACTCATCACTCTCAAAGATAACACGGGAACACATCCCAAGACCACCAAAGGACAACAACAACTCAAGGATAAAGACACGGCAAATGGCAACACATGCCTTTGTGACTACACACGTCACAAGAAGAGAACACACAACCACGGCTACACAAGCCCTCGTGACATCACACGTCACGAGTTGAGATACCTTCCTTATGCCCTATTCCAACCTTATGGCTACCCCCAACCTTATATCTAGTTCCAACCTTTACCTCCAGGACCCCTGTACACCAAGTCCAACCTTTTCCCTCCGAGGACCGTCGTCCACTCTCCAACAGATCTCCAACAGAACCACCGATTTCATAGTACACGAGGGTACCGATCACACACACGGTAACACATGCCTCTCCCAAAACACGTGAACCTTACACAAAGGTCACAACTCCATAATCGCATCACGGCCACCATGAGGACCGCTGCCATACCTTGGTGATTAAGGCCACATAAACCGAAATCGTGCAATCCAGGTACAGCCACACACGCATCACACCTCAACAGGAATCAATCAACGGATCACAACAAAGATATGAAACATACTCAATCAAGGAGTGGGTCACAGCCTAACAATAACAACGATGAATAACACAAGTCATCATCAACCCAACGGAAGGTACAAACAACACATACGCTAGCATTTAGAAACCGAACTAGCATGCTTATCAAACGGATAAACCAAAGGTAGTTCCGAGGGACACACAAGACACATCACGGCTCAACGAAACACAATGTTGAACACTTAGCACGATTCAAGACACCAAAGTCCTACATGGATACCTACCATATAGTTATAGACATACGAAACATCAAGAAGACACACAAATAGTTCCACAAAAGAACATCGGAAAGTCAAAAGACCAAATACCGAGTCAAAAGAATCACAGGGAACAAATCCCCAAACATCACCACATACGTACCCGGCCGGTAGGCGCACGGGTAGGACTCTACCCGCAGGTACAGGCTCCCCATCTTGTGTACCCCGCGGGTGGGCGGCGGGTTGGACCCCCGCCGTTCCGCCCGCGGGTACACCCTGTACCTCAAATCAACACTTCGCGAATTTTCTTCTCCAAACTCAAATTCAAGTCCAAAACATGCCAAATCTCACCAAATACAACAAAATGACTTGAATCATAGGAAATGCCAAGCAATGGCACAAAAGAACCCTAAACACAAGCTCTAGATATGCATTTTCACAAAACAAATGCATAAACATTCACATTTCTTAGCAAAACACAAGTAGAATTCAAGAAATCACATATAGGTAAGCAAAATAGATTTTTTAGAGCATGGGTTACCTCTTGTAGACTAAAAGACTTCACTTTACACCTCAACAAGCTCATCA